TTTCATCATATTATTGTCATAAATCAGTAACATTAAGTCTCGTCTTCAATTGGGTAATTATTATGTACCGATCGAGTAACATTTACCAAAGTTATATCGAAAAATTTAAGTGGATCTCCAGTTTTTTTCTAAAAAAAATTCTCTTCAATTGTATAGATAACTTTTAAATAAAAGAACCAGATTACAGAAAATTGTGCCAGGGGGTGACTTTTTTTCGTTTAAGCTGAATGCAAATCAATATCGTCCAATTGGAGAGTCCTCAAAAGGATATCCCAGGATATGTTAAAGACTATCGCATTTACCTACAGTCACTTTTTCACATAATGCAATTGACTAAAATATTTATATATATCGAAACACTTATTGCACGTTTCTTACTTTCATATAACGAAAAATTTAAAAACCGCGAAAAATGTGCTTCTTCGGTGACTAATGAAACCATTCCGCACCAATTTTAAAGACTGCATAAATGGACTTAAAATGGGCGTTTCTCACCCTAATAGTAATATGTCAATATATGTAAATACTTGTATGCTTGAAATTACTATTAACTTGTCAAACGATTCCTAGTCTTTGACAATACATGTTTGACTTCATTCACCACGATCTTGAAAACTGACCAAATCGGCGTGACCAAGTTCATGGTCCTTTTAATATTATATAAACATCAGAAAACATTAAAACGTTTGAAATAAATCTCGTCTAACCTTTTTTGGTTGCTGAAGTAATGAAGAATTGAAAATTCATAAAGGAAAATTATAGTTTTTGTAAGTTTTATCCTAATATCTTAAAAACTTGTAGATTTATTGAAAAATGATAAATGCACGTGAGGTATTAAAGTTAATAACCCTTAATTTGATATATCGTCCTGTTTATAATAATCAACGCATTCCATGTATATAACAAGTCAAAGTTTCATTTTCAAAATTCATACACTTTGATTCGATTGCGCGGGCTAAAGATCAGTTTTAAATTATTTTTTCGTGGCCAATAACAATTGGCTTAGACCTAAGACATCATAATACTACTATTAAAACACGGTCAAATGCTTTTTATTTTCCCCCATACAAAATCGACCCAGCCTAATATACATATATCGGTAAGCTTAGATTACTGGAAATTTTAATTAATTTAAATAAATAAAAAACTAATATTTTCCTTAATTTTTCCAACTTTGACCATCGCTAATTTCAAGATTTTCCAACCAAAGTGTAAATACATTTTATTGATCGCAAACCTTAAAATAATGCTTAAACATAAATTTTTTGATAAATATCATAATGACTAGTGAACCCGCATAGAGTTAAAACGCCCTAAATTGAAATTCAAAAACTTTAAAAATATTCCAAATGTTAGTCAGAGTTATAAGAAGTTCGAGTGCCGTATCTCATCAAATCGTGCAGCCTTTTCTGAGTGAACAGCAGTCTCGTATTGTGCATGTGTTTATTTTCATCGAATTTCAAATCATCCAATACCGATGAAAAAAGTTCTTATGTAATTAAAAAAAATTAAACTTTATCATACATCTACAGGCTATGGTCTCTAATTTGACCTATCATTTGTTGAAATTCCTTTTCAAAAGTATTCTCAAACCAAAATCTTCTTAAATCTCTTCGGCTGACATTGTGATACACATGTATTTCAATAAACTGATGAACTAATTCGAATTTGATTATTCGAACAAATGGCAACCCTCCTAAATAAAGGACAGGATTAAATCCCTTTCAAGCCGACTTCGATTTATACCCAGCTTTTAATAATTTATCCAACTTACTGAATAATTTGAATGTAACTTTTTAAACACGTGGCCACTCTCTTCAAACATTCGAAATGTTTAAACTCGAGATTTCTTAAGCAGTGGCAGTGGCAGTTTTTCGGAATCAGCTGTTTCTTAGAAAGTGTGGTGTCCAATGAAGCGACTCACAATACAGCAGTGGCAGCTGGCAGTACTGCTCAGTTTAGCCCAAATTCTAAATTCACTGCCACTGCCTTCATCGAAGCGAACTTCGCATGCTGAATTTGACATAAATAAAATGCAGCTAACTTCTGTTCATGTCACTGAAGCCTAAAAGACAGCAACAAAAATGTAAACAAACAAAAGGGAATGTCAAAAAAAGCTTTCCCTGACAACGCCGTATTTTATTTGCTGCGGCAGTGACTGCCAATATTAGCAGTAACAGCTGATTTTAAAAACTGTCACTGCCACTGCCACTGCGTTATTGTATTTTGGCCTATAACATTATTTCGTTTGACTACAGTATTTTTATATTTCATATACTTTTCGAATTAGTTAATTGAGTGAGACCTTTCAAACAAGTGGCAGCCCTCTTCAAAAGTATTGTCAAACTGATGAATTAAGTGGAATTTTAATTTTCAAATATATTTCAGAAATAAAAAATTTGCAAACCCCTTCGACTAATACACCCATATTTTAATAATTAATTTTTTTATAAAATAATTTGAATTTAACTTTTTAAATAGGTGACAAACCCTCTTTCAATACCTCAAAAATATTCTTAGCGCTCAAACTAAAGATTTCTTAACATTCCTTCGTTTGATATCCATATTATAATTAAGGTTGCCAGATTTTGTATCAGCACTTTTCAGTACATTTTTATTCAAAGCAAAATTGTGAATGTAAGTATCAGATAATTCTTTAAAACGCAAGAGTAGTTGTTTTTAACAATATTTTGGTATATTAAAAAAAAATATATATATATATATATGAGTGTACACAGAAGCCAATAAATTATTTTATATTTATGACATTTTTGAATAGCAATAATGAGATCATTTCCATCTTCAGTGCTTAAATAGTCAAAGAATTCTATACATTTCATTTTAAAATTACTTTTAATATGAAGTTCGCTTTAAAAATTTTTTATTAGAAACAGTTTTCTCTCTTTGCGCCAGCAAGCAAGCTTTGTACTTAAGATCCTCTCAGTTGCTTCGTTTGAGTGTGGTATTGAAAAAGAAATACAAAATTACATATTTTTTCAAACTGTTTTTCTTGTTATTAAACTGAAAGTTATTTTCGAGATAACTAGCAACACTCGACAAAAAAACGTCAGCCTTCTTTTTAAATAATTTAACCTCCATCATATTATCGCAACTGGCACGTATGCGATATGCCCATAAAACGATTGATATTTTTGTTGTATTAATTTCTTGGGCATGTCAAATATTATCTGAAACATGCCAACTATAATTAAATTATTTTATTTTTACTTTTCACAGTACAGTTTAAGGAAGTTCCAACGTTATGTAAAAACATTAATTAATTTTAATATTTCGTATAACTTGTGTATAAGGAAACTAAATTCGACATTTCAACCAGGTGGCAACCCTCTTCAAAATATTTTCAAACTACTACTTTCTGAAACCCCTTTCCTTTGGCACTCACATGGTGACACATACGGCCCTGCATATTGCACGTTTGATCCACATATAGAAGGGCATATATCTCTTCGCCAATTTTTGGAAAATTTTTTATTTGTTAAACTGAATATCGATGGCTGAGTGGAAGATCGACCTATCTCGGCAGCCAGTTCGAAAACGCTCTATCTCAAAAAAACTTTTAAAGAACGCCCTATTTCAGAATTCGTTTCAAGGACGCCCTATCTCAGCTGCCGATTCAAAAACGCCCTATATTAGCATATTTTCAATACATTTTGAAGTGAGATAGGGCGTTTTTGAACCGAATTTCGAAATAGGGTGTTTTTGAATAAAATTCTGAAATAGGGCGTTCTTGAAAAGTTTTTTGAGATAGGGCGTTTTCGAACTGGCAGCCGAGATAGGTCGATCTTCCACTCAGCCATCCATCGATATAATCTAATTAATTGAATGATATAATTTCTAAAATCGTGTATCTTGAATTAATTCATTTTAATACTAAACGTGCGATATATTACTTAAATTGAAATCTATTTTCAAATTTGTTTGTTTAGCTAAATCTAACAGGTTTGGAAAAAATTTAAGTAACTAGTTGACAATAAAATATATAATATTAATGAATTTTAAAAACCCACCGAGACTTGGCCTTGTTTTTACCGATGATGCCGATGTCCTCGAAATACGCCAGCAATTGTAGCCTAAACTTATTTCATTTTGCTGCACATGCTAAGCAAAATATTATTTTTTAAATTTATATAAATTTTTTTTTGTATTATGAAGTGGCCTGTACAGTGGCGAAAATGTAAATAGAGAAAATATATTTTAGCACGTTTTGGCTATTTTTCTTTGTTTAAAAAATTTTTATTATTTTTTTATGAAAATATAGCCTGCTATCTAAAGAAAGCCATGTTAATCAAAATGTCAAAATTTGTAGAATTTGTAGAATTTCAGTAGCTATATAAACACAAAATAATTGCAAAAAATCAACGCCAAGTCCTAGCTTGACTTGAAACTTGCACTTTATGGTACTAAAATTTAATGAGCTGCAAAACTGCATACTCAGAATGTTTGACACTTTTAACTATTTCGCGCGGAAAAATAATCTAGGCCATCTCAGGCTAGTGAGAAAAACAAATAATTAATCTTTCAAAGTGGTTTTCAAAAGCGCGAGAACCGGAACAACATAAAAACACAAACACTAACTGACAATTCTTAGCTTTTCCTTCTTTTAATAAGGGGGCCAAGACCATTGTGTACAAATACAAGTGAGATATCTTAGCAATAGACGTCATCCTGGGCCACAGCTGCGATCATCTGTTTTTTAGAGTTGCTTATTTTGGTCTAAACTGCGCTTTTTTGACCTGAATTGCATTAAATAGTCTCTTAAAACTTGGTAGTATTTGTTGTTCAAATGGTAACATATATGCCCAAAAACTTGAAAAATATTAGATGATTGCTTCTTAAAAATGCTATTTATAAAATTTCGTTTTGATTGCGACATTAGAAATATTCAGATTATAAAAGTTTTTCACATATGTTTTAAGATTTTAAAGCTTTTAAAAAGTACGGTAGAATGCAACAATGTGCTTGAATTTGTTTGCATCTTCGTCAGCTTATTCGTTTGCAGACTAGAAAAATGGCGAACAGCCATCAAAATACTTCAAAATACACATCTTTCACTGGACACACAAATGGGTGCGCGCAGCAAAATTCAGCCCCAATGGTAAGTTAATTTCATCGTGCGGCGATGACAAGTAAAGAATTTGCGATGCATTTTAAGGCGAATGTGTGCGAACGTTCACTGGGGGAAGAGGTATGGGACGACAGCTGGCATCGCATCCAGACGGCTTTAGCATTAAGTTGTAACCGCGTTAAGATATTTGACATAGCTGAAGGCGAGCTAATACAGTGCATTCGTCGCCGGAGAATGATGTTGCATTTCACCCAAGTGGAAATTTCTTGGTGACTGGCGGCGATGACGATACAATAAGATTGCTTGATTTATTAGAAGGTCGACCAATTTATACAAGGTAGTAGTGCACTTCAGCGGAACCATATAATATAAATTTTTTCCTGTATTCAACAGTTGCTCGTTTGGAAATCTAATTTGCATACATTTGATGCCAATAGCTCTCGCAACAAACAAGCCAGTTGATTTTAGTCATGCACAGGGATGCCGTTGGGATCTAAATAGATCCAATTGGATACATTTTTAGACGATACTTACTTTTTCCGGTCAGTACAAATGTGGATACTTTTTTAAATAGGCCAAAATTTTATATTTCCTATAAAGTTTTTTTCGTTCAAAAATCGATTTTCATTAAAGATGGTAGAAAGCATTACGTTTTCTAAACGTATAAAGAATCTTTACTTAAGCGTGAAATTAAAGCATTTTATTTTTTGTGAACGAAGCAATGAACATATGAAGAGATCTCACCAAAATAGGTATAAGCGCAATTGCTTTAATTAGCTTAAAAGGATGCTTTACGCAAGATCTTAATATACATATCGTCGTTTAAAGTACAAAACCGCGTATCAACAAAATGCAAAACCGCGTATCAAGATAATGCAAAACCGCGTATGTGACGTTGCATAGATTATTTTCTAGAAAGTGAAAGCACTTATATTTCAAAATGGTTCTCTTTTTAATAAAGCAATCGCAGTTCTGGCCAAGAGCTTGTGTGAGCAAATCCAATTTTCGGCAGCAAATGTCAGTTACGCGATTTTGCAGAATGACGATACGCGGTTTTGTACTTTAAACGACGATATATATAAAGTAAATTATACTCTTTCTGTAGTAATCTCTACACATATTTTCATTTGTTAATTTAAAAAGAAAGAAGATTTCAATGTAGTTTAGAAAACTAAATTTGATTTATTTAAGGAGACTTTTATGAATTTTACTGAAAAGACTTTAAATACACTCTAAAAAAATTTTGTTTATTTGCGCATATGGAGAGAAGTAACCAGTTTCCTCCTTTAATGTGTGCAAATTTGCATGCGGTGTAATAAAATTAATCATTGCCTGTTTACTTTTACATAACGAATTTGTCGGAAGAGTAAAATTACACATAAAATGTTTAAAATAAAGTAATGTTTATTATTAGTAGGAAATGTATTTGTAGTTTGAAAATTTTTGCAATTTTAAACATTCTGTATATGTGTATTTATGTGTATATCTTAAAGATCTCAAGTTCAAAATCAAATACTGAACAACCTATACGTATGTTTATACAGATTTTTGTTGAAAAATAGATACTTTTCAGTAGAAGTTTTATATGCTCTTTTTAGAGTGTACTTGCTATTTATTATATTTACAAAAAAAATACTTATGCTCAAAAAATGTACTTTATAAATTGAAATTACAAATGTTTGATTTCATGCACATGTATTCCAAGTCCTTTGGATGGGTTAAATTATGTCTTTTTCATGAAAATGTTTGGTTTTCTTACAAATTATGAGATGTATATGTAAAACAAAGGAAATTGGATACATTTTTGGCTTGGTCAGGGATACATTTTCTTGAGACGGCGCGGCAACACTGGTCATGCAACAGCTCCACATACCTCCGCCATAGACACACCAGTTGCTGGAGTACCAAAAAGCTGTGATGACAGTATTTTAATTGATCCACGACAATCGGTGGCATATTGAATGCGTGATGGAAATTTTCTGGTGCTTGATAGCCAATATACTACAAGAGTGAAACGCTACAACTGAAACGCTGTGATAGTAATTTTTCTTAAATTTCCATCTTTTATTTGCTGTTACATTAAGATGCTCATAGAGAACAGAGCTGTTGGTGAGGAAGGTGTCGAGTTACTGCAGTACTGCAACTGGGAAAATCCGCATTTCGCACGTGCCCCACTCGTATGGAATAGTAGCTTATGTCAAAAGGCTGGTTTTAGTATAATGCGGCATTCGCAGCATACCCCCACTGGCGCCGAGCCGTTGAAGAAATTTTGGCAAATAAACGTGCAAGAAATAGTTCCGATACTAGCACGTCCATATTCTTGTTAAGGGTCATCAAAAAATTCCTTGTGTTGTAAATAATAAAGGGAATTCCGGATTATACTAAAGCCAGCTTCCCGACATAAACTACTATTCCATACGAACACAGAAATATAAATGTATCTAAAACTGAATAACTCAAATCAAATTGGATTGCATTTGCATAATTAACCTAATATTGGAATCTGTTTTGATCGTAAAAAATACAACTTGCAATCATTTAGATTATAGCTTTGAAAGAAATTGATTGCAATCGTAAATTGTGTAAAAATTGTTAATAGCAATCTGCCTTAAATTTATGTTCCCCATGTAACGGTTATAAATTACGTTAAATCCGCACTATCTGCATTAACAAAAACTATACATTGGAATATTTAAAATAAAACGATTTATATTTATTTTCTAATAAGAAGTGTTTCTTAATTGAAAGTATTTAATACTTATATAACGTAGTGGTTAATGTTTAAAAATGAATTCGCAATATGTCCGCAGCTCAGGTTGATTTGAAGAAATCCGTTTAAATTTTTCGAATAACATCTACTTGAATATAGGATGGGCAGGGTTGCATACAAATGGTAGTTCCGTAAATATTTAAAATATGTTAGTTCATTCAATATTAACATCTGGGCCAATAAATAATAACAAATATAGCCGAAAAACAAAGTTTCGATTAAAACGAGTTTTTATAACCCCCATAAAATTCCGATTAATTTTAAATGCGAAAATAACGATATTTTTTCATGGAGAGGTATTTTTTTTAATATACCTTGTTTATACCTACACAAGAACCGCATTAGCAAAAAACCGATTGGACTCAACATATATTTCTTTACAGCATTTATACCCCTGTCTATATAGCGTACTCGATAAAGTCTTATTCAGAAGTAAACAAAATCTGCTATTTTTAAACGATATTTTTTTAATAAATAATTTGCGCGGTTGACCGAAATGGAAACAAAAAATAATTGTAATTTATTATAACAATAATTCGAATTTAAAACGGGCTGTATAAAGAAAACCAGCCTATTGTCACTTCACTTTCCAATGGTGCTGATTGCTGCAAGAATTGTTTAGCGATTTAGAACATAATCAACACAATATATGCACATAAATATGTATTATTTCACAGATCTCAGGATCAGCTTAGAAATACGTCACCAAAATTATATAAAATTTAAGTAGGAATTATTTTTATTTATAACGTAAAACCGCTATCTGACCCGATCTGATAAATATATTTCCCCTAAAGTTAAAACATTTTATTTAATTTGTCTCTCGTGAAAATATATATTTTATTTAAAATTTTCAGATATGTACATATATTTTAAATTTTTGGTTTAATTTTTGTCTCCTTTTAATATTTAATTAGATACCTTAAGATTAAAATAAGCTTAAAACGAGACAGCACAGCAACCCTTTTCTGTTCATCTTGAGAACACAAAACCCTCTTTTGTTATAATTCGGCGCTGCACAAAATCCTGGCTTTTATATTTTCCAACAAAATACCACTTCGCAACCCTGGATTTTCACGAAGCGTTTCATTCAGGTCGTAGTTTTGCAACTTCGGGTCATTCGGTGTTGTATGCCTTATTGGCTGCCATATTGTTCACACTGTCATCGCCATATTGAACACCCTGTCAACTATCTGTCAACCCTAAGATATCTCACTTGTATTCTTCCACAATGGCCAAGACTTTTAAATTTGCCTCATTGTTTTAATTTGACGCATTGATGGCAAATATGAATTTCCATAGTCCTCATATTACATATCTACATATATATTTATCATTATCAGTTTCTATCGAACTCAGTTCAATTATTACATACTTTTAGAACCAATTTCAGATGAGCAACGTCTAATTTTCTTACATTAGATGGGTGACAACCATTTCTGCCCGCTTTAAATTTAAAAATTTTGTATTTTAATTCTTCTAGCACTTGTTTTCAATATTGGTTGGACAAGAAAATTTGGTTTGCTTCAGAGAAAAATTTTCAGTAAAAAAAAACATAAAAAATAACTATGCTTGGGCTCGTCCGGGATTTGAACCCGGGACCTCCCGCACCCTAAGCGGAAATCATACCCCTAGACCAACGAGCCAGTTGTAAAAACTGTGTCAAACGGCTAACTTATAAATTTATGAAAACTTCACAAAGAAGCGCAAAAATAAAAAAAGATTTATAAATAACAATTTGACGGATCGTGCGCACGCATTCCTATTTCGTTACATATGGATGTTTGTATACTAAAATGGGCAAACATTGATTTGGATAATCAAGTTCGTTTATATGTTGTGATATACATATTTACATATAAACACATCTGGCCTGTATGATATTCAAACGCATTTCACACAATGCGCCTCAAAGCTTAAGAAGTACAAATAGATGAACTTGAGCTCCAAATATGAGTCTTTTTATGCACACGGCTCAATAACATTTGCCTTGGCCTTGCAATTGAATTCAATTTTTTTTTTATTATTGAATCAGAAAACAAAAAAATTAGGCTTGGGCTCGTCCGGGATTTGAACCCGGGACCTCCCGCACCCTAAGCGGAAATCATACCCCTAGACCAACGAGCCGGTTGAATTGCGGCAGCACAAAGCTGTATTTGAATCCGAACAACAACAAAAATCTGTAGCTACAAGAATGGCATCTGTTTAATGCACCATCTGACGTCAAAAAACTGCCTGCAGAGAACCGTATAATGTATTGATTGCTACACTTGACGGCTAGATGGCGCTGAATAAGTTGATGAGAATATAGAGAAAGCAGAATGAGTAAGGAGCACGTCTCCGCTAAAAATTCCGCGATTATATTGAACAAGATAAAAGTAAACCATGATAAAAACATAGCAAGGTAAAACCGTTCTCTCAATTCGTCGGCCATGATTTTTTTTTTTTTGAAGTTTGCCAACATTTTAAAATCATATAAAATTGAGAGTAAGAAAAAGGAATTGTTCAAAGTTGTTGTTGTTTTAGATTGAAAATGAGAATGTGTGCGTGAGTTTGTGTGCAAAATTTTAAAATTAAATTGCTTGCAAACGTCAAGAATTTGAAAAATTCCACTCAGCGGTTCTACCTTCCTATTTTTTTATCATGATGTAAACAGTACAATAATTTTGTATTTGCTGCAAAACTTGATATGCCGAAAATAGTGCACAAGGACTTTTTTTACGGTAGTACACTGTGACCACGGTTGCCAAA